TGCAAAAACTTTCACGGTCCCGTACGTGGGAACCACGTGGGCAAGAGTGTTCATTTTGGGAGTGGGGGCTCGTACATGCATGTATATTAAGTTTCCAAAGCCTCAGCCTTGTGGTTTTTGTAGGTCTCGGGTTGAAAAATCGGTACAGACGCACATATAGGTACACACACACGCACGCATACACACACACGCATACACATACACATTGACAACCCCTCGCCAATATGGGTTTTTGCATTCGCATAGGTGCATAAAACGCATAAAAATATGGGACTTTTAGAATGGGGGAATTTTGTTTTGCAGGGAGGAAGAAAATAATTCGTTGCGTGAGTACCTATCGATTCTGTACATGAATCCACGAATGCGAATTGTTCTGCGCGGTGAAAAAGTGTACACGCAAAGAATTCTCAGTACACTGTTCAAACCACGAATGTATCGGTATCAGGCAAAAAATTTGAAGGCATGTGTGGAGCGTGAGCTGGAGAAATGCGAAAAGAAAGCGCTGGAACGTAAGCTGTAATTTTAAATATATTTCTTCTATTTGCTTACTTCCGGTCTTCCATTTCTTCTGATTTTCATCTCTTTTATCTTAATTGATTTCTATACCACACTTTATTTTGTTATCACAATTATTTTGTTGTCACAATCGTCGTACTGACGAGGTCCAGTTGTGGTAACGGTAAGAAATGTATACGACTTAATGGATCGAAACATTTCTTCCCTATAACAAATATTTCCTCAGTCCACTTTCTCCATCTTACTACGCTTTCCCTCGTCTTCTTTGTTTTCTTCCCGTCCTCATATTTTCTCTTCAAAGTTTAATATTAATATAAGGATATTTTTTGATTTTTTGAAAAAAAACAAGTATTCGTGGTATCAGCTTCTCCACGATCTGTGTCCGAAAAGGTGGCAATTTTTCTGGATGCTTTGACCAGTGCTGCGTCCACTTATGGTCAATCTTTTAAGGAAATTTTTTTCATTGTTGCAATAAGTTCACCGATATTCTTTGGCTTTATAAACTGCTGCATTAATATTTTTTTTTTTTGGGGAAAGTCGAAAAAAGCAGGTGGGAATTAAGAAAAATGGATCCAAGTTCTCTGATTAGCGATACGGGCGAGGCGAAATTGGTTGGCTAAATTAGTTGTGATGAATAATTTAGTTAAAAACCAGCACCATGAATTCCTAAGATCGTACAGGCGTGAAAATTTGTGAGATGATTATATTGGTAAGTGTTTCTTTCCATTAAATCGTATACATTTCTTACCATTATCACAACTGGACTTCATCAGTACGACGATTATGGTAATTTGAAGTTAGTAGAAGTTAGGTTTAAATTAATTGTATAATTCATATTAGTTTAGTGAAATTGTTTAAATAAAAAATTGGATTGGCTAT